GCCGCCTTCCTGCGCGCCGCCGAGCCCCCCGCGCCCCTGCGCGCGCTGCTGGCTCGCCAGCTCCTCTTCTTCTCCGGCGCGCTCTTCGCCGCGCTGCTGCTGCTCACGGTCTACGACGAGGACGTGCTCACCGTCGAGCACGTGTTCACCACCATGACCGCGCTCGGGCTGGCGGCCACCGTGGCCAGGTGCGAGGCGCCTGCACGCCCGCGCTGGGGGGTGGGGCTGGGTGGGGCTGGCTCACCCTCCGGTCCTCTAACCTCCCCCGCGCCGCCTCGGCCTGCAGGAGTTTCCTCCCGGAGGAGCAGGGTCACGGGCGTCCCCCGCAGCTCCTGCTGCAGGCGGCGCTGGCGCACATGCACTACCTCCCCGAGGAGCCCAGCGCCGGTGGCCGGGACAGCGAGTACCGGCAGATGTCGCAGCTGCTGCAGTACCGAGCGGTAAGGGTCGGGATCCGCAGGGAGCCGCAGAGACGCCTATGCAGTGAGCGTCCCCGGGGGCTCCTCGTTTCCCGTCTCCTGTGCGCGCCCCCGGAGACCTCTGCTCGGCCCCACGTCTTCCCCTCCAGGCCTCCCTCCTAGAAGAGCTTCTGTCGCCGCTCCTCACGCCGCTGTTTCTGCTCTTCTGGTTCCGGCCTCGAGCCCTGGAGTTTATCGACTTTTTTCATCACTTCACTGTGGATGTGGCCGGGGTTGGGGACATCTGCTCCTTTGCCCTCATGGATGTGAAGCGCCACGGCCACCCTCAGGTTGGAGGCCGCTTGCCCACCCCTTCCTTCCCCAGGGCGCACTGGGTTGCAAGCCCAGCTCCGTTGCTTGCTGCCTGTGACCTCGAGCGAGGCACTGCACTCTTGCACGCGGGGACAGTGACAGGACCCGCGTGCAGGGTTGTCCTGAGGCTGGCAGGACATCTTTAGAGCCCTTTGCAGAGCTGCGGGCAGTCATGGGAGTAGAGGCCACCAGGAGACTGGGGAGTGGGTGGGGCCGGCCAGGGGACTGGATCTGTACGGGGGAACAAAGCAGAGAAGGCAGGGTCTGGGCTGCGGTCCTGCTCCATGGCTGTGTTCTCAGTGCTGGACTGCGGAAGGTGCGTGTCCCGCCCTGTGCAGCCCCGCCAGGCCCGGGACCACAGCGCCTGTCTTTGTTTGCAGTGGCTCTCGGAGGGTCAGACGGAGGCCTCGACGGCCCAGCGGGCAGAGAACGGGAAGACGGAGCTCTCCCTCATGCGGTTCTCGCTGGCTCATCCGCAATGGCGCCCCCCAGGGGACAGCTCTAAGTTCCTTGGCCACCTTCGGGGCCGCGTACAACAGGACGCAGCTGCCTGGGGGGCCACCCCTGCTCGAAGTCCCCCAACCCCAGGGGTGCTCAGTGACTGCACCTCGCCTCTGGTGAGTCCCAGGCCTGGACTACCCTTCTGCCATTCTCAAAGGTAGTGACCTTGGTTTTTGCTACATAGTTCAGGCTGGCCTTGAACTCACTGTGTACCCCAGGCTGGCCTCAAACTCATGGCCATCTCCCTGCCTCAGCCTCCTGAGTGCTGGGATTACAGGCGTGCACCACCACACCCGGTTTCCTGCCTCGTTTAGGTCTTTTTTCTCTCCCTTCCTGTCCTCTCTCCTGACCCCCTTGCCTTTCCTCTTCTCTTTAGCAGCCGGATGCCTTCCTGGCCAACCTGTTGGTGAACCCCAGCCTGCCTCCGAGGGACATGAGCCCAACGACCACCCGCCCGGCCGCTGCCACAGCCAGCGTTCTTGCCTCCATTTCCCGAATTGCCCAGGACCCCAAGTGAGTGGTACAGGCCTGGGATGCAGGGGAGTCTGAGGTGCAGGCTGGCCCTGCCACTAGGGTGGGGATGTCTTGACCTGCTTGCCCTGGTACACCCTGTGTTCCAGCTGCATGTCCCCAGGAGGCACCGGGGCCCAGAAGCTAGTCCAGCTCCCAGAGTTAGCCTCTGCTGAGATGAGTCTCCATGCCATCTACCTGCACCAGGTGAGCAGAAGGATGCTGGAAAGAGGAAGCCCTCTGTACCTAGCTCTGGGGTTTGGCCTGGCCCCTGGCAGGGCATAAGACCCTCATTCCTCTTTGCATAGCTCCATCAACAGCAGCAGCACGAGCTGTGGGGAGAAGCCTCGGCCTCCTCCCCTTCCAGGGCCTGGTCCAGCCCCTCGCAGCCAGCCTCCCCTGACGAGGAGAAGCCATCCTGGTCAAGTGACGGTGAGCAGGGCGGGTGCAGGGGGCCGATCCTGGTGGATGTGCACCATCATGGCCCTTCAGCTGATGGCTTTTGTTACCAGGCTCCAGCCCTGCCTCCAGCCCCCGACAGCAGTGGGGAAAGCCGAGGGCCCCGAATCTGTTCCCTGAAGGGTTTCAGGAGACCACAGACACCCAGAGGGAACCTGGCCAGGCCCCCGGCACCGACTGAGAACACCTCAGGTTAGTATTGCTCACTTGGGAGAGGAAGTCGGGGAGAGCAGGAAATGGGTCTCGGAGGGATGGGAATGCCAGTGGGTTTGGGGTACGGGGGTACTGGGTTCTATAGAACCTGGGCCCGGGCTGCTTTCTTCTCCCCCTAGGTTCCTGGCTTCTGCAGCTGCAGGAGACTGGACAGGGTGGCGTAGAAGCACACAAGAAGCCACCTTTACAAACCCAGCAGGGATGACAGGCCCAGAATGCTTTCACTGGACAGGACCTGGGGTTCATGGAAGAACTCGCCCTAGAGAACAGAGAGAAAGAAGCAGACTAGGCGTGGTGGCGCATGCCTGTAATCCCAGCACTCGGGAGGCTGAGGCAGGAGGATCGTTGCGAGTTTGAGACCAGCCTGGGCTACAAAGTGAGCAGCCTGAACTGCATAGAGAGACCCTGTCTCAAAAAGACAAAAAAAAAAAAAAAAAAGAAAAAGAAAGAGGCAGTGTCTGTGGCAGTCGGAGACAAATCTTTGAGATGACCCCACACAGAGGACTAAGGTGGGGGACACCTACTCAAATGGATGCCTGGAAAAAGTTGCTTGGGAAGTCCCTGAGTGTTCTCAAAGTGAAGGGCAGCACCTAGGCAGTGGGTGAGGCACGTGGTCTGAGACTCAGGCAGTGTTCTGCTGACCTTCCCCTCATGTTCACAGGGTGCTTGGGGCATGGGGCCTTGTAAGTGGAAAACTTCCAGAGCGGGAATGTTTTGGACTGTATGGATGCCGGAAGTGGCATGGCTCCTCGTGCTGTGCAAAAGAAGTAGTCAGAACTGCTCTGTGTTTGTGCTGGAGCCTCTGGCATGCCCTGCTCCTGGCAGCTGAAGGATGCCACCTGCCTTCTCAATAAAGCCCAAGGGAACAACACAGAACTGTCCGTGGTTGGCTGGAGACGTTTTACAGTGCTGGGTCACGTGCAGTGTGTAGGACGAGATGTTCATGAATTACCGCCCCCACATCTGTACACGTTAAAACACGGAACCTGCCTTTTATAATTGGGATCCACAGGGGCTGGGTCAGGCTTCTCATAACATCTGGCACAGTCTCTCGTGGTGAATCTTCAATAATAAATATTTATTTGAATGGTTTGGAGATGGCCTTTAAAGGTGAGCTACCCCGGAGCGGGGTGAGGGGACTCTGCAGGTCACCGAAGTACACGAGGAGGGTGGCAGCAGGCCCTGAACACCACTGCGGGGAAGTGCGGAGGGTTACAGGGACCCGTGTCAGGGGAGCGGGCCTGGAGAGAGGAGGCGATCACTCACTCCCAGGGGAATGAGCTGCTTCTCATGTCGGCCAGCAGTGCAGTCCCTCACCCCCGACCCCAAGTGGAAGCCAGGGGCCTATCAGGGGCTGGGGGTGTCTGGGCCTGGCAGGTCGAACGCCCAGGGCACTGCGCCCCGCAGGTGCCGCTCCTGCAAGGAAAAGCTCTGGGTGCGTATGCGGCTCGTCACCTCCTGGGTGCGCAGTGTGAGCCCGAAAATGTCCTCGTGATAGCGTTGCTGATCCTGCGGGGGGTTGGGGAGGGGAAGCTCAGAGGCTCAGAAACCAGGTTGGAGACGGAAGCCGACCTCCCACCCAGGCCGGGTCCCGCCCCAAGCCCGCTGGCCCCGGCACAGTTCCGCACCCGCAGCACGCCGATGACGTCCCCGGCCTCGTCCAACTCCATGTCGCCCTCGGTGGCCAGGATTCGCTGCACTGTCTGCAGGACGTTGGTTGCCATGGTGACGTCGCCGCACACAAACATGTGGCCCCGCTCGAGACACAGCACGCGGTGCACCTCAGCAGCCAGCTCGGTCCTCAGGATGTCCTGCACGTAGGTCTGAGGGGAGGTGGGGGCTTAGATGTGACCGGAACCCGGGTGCCAGGGGTGGGGCCTAGGCTTCTGGGGCGGGGCCTGTGGGCGGGACTAGGGCCTGTGGGCGGGGCCAGGGCCAGTGGGCGGGGCAGGGGTCCGCCCGCCTTGGAGCACCCCTTGCGTGCTTCCGGGTCTCTATCCTCAGGTCGCCTGTGTGAGCTCAGGGTGTCGCACCTTGGGGCTGTTGGGCTCCCGGGAGAAGGCGGTGAGGACGCGGCCGAACACCCCACGCTGCTGGGCGTCCTGCACCTCCTCGCGGTAGAGATGGTCGAGTTGGGAGCATCGACAGCCAAATACCAAAGTCATGGGTGCGGGCTGCAGGCCTGCGCGCAACACCGCGGGTTGGGAGGGTCCTGTCCTCCGGGGTCGCCCCGCCGAGGCCGCCCCACCCGCCAGGTCCTGTCTTCCTTTTGAGGTCACAGCCCCCTTTTGAGTGCCGCCTAACGCTCAGTCTAAACACCTCAAACCTTGGCGCAGTCCGGAATTCCCCTGAAGCATTTCTGAGTCCCGGCCCCATCCCTTGCAAACCCCCTTTGCCTTTGTCCTTAATCCAGTTCCGCACCTCCTATGCGCCAGGCACCAGCTAGATAAACAGGGCGGCTCTTCTGCCCGGCCCTCTGCTGCCGCCTAAGCTTCCCTTCACCTCTGGCTGCAGTTTCTGGCTCTCTCTGCCCTCCCTCTTCCTGTCGTCTTCCAGCCCCACCCCTTGTCCCTCCCTCGTGCCTCCGGGTCAGTCCCTGAGTGTCAGCCTCACCTTTGTTCTCGATGTCGTGCAACCGCTCCTGCCAGAATCCCCGGAAGGGGGCAATGCCAGTGCCTGGGCCCACCAGGATGCAGGGCAAGCTGGGGTCGGGCGGGAGCCGGAAGGAAGGAGCCCTGACCGGAGAGACCCCATCAGGCTTTCCTCCAGCAGGTGTCTCGTTCGTACCCCGCAAGGTCCAGTGACAAGTGCATTAATACCCGTAAGTGCTCAGAGCAGTCTGGGTCACGGTAGGACTATGCAATTATTTACTAAAAGAACTCTGCTCATAGCCAGAAACTCTCCGGGCCAGTGGTGTTTAGGGATTGACCCAGCAGAAAATATAGTTCAGTTTGGACTGAAAGATACTCAGATAACTAAGTTTAGGGGATTTAAAATATATGGAGAGCCGGAAGCGCGGTGGTGCACAGCTGTAACCCCAGCACTTGGGAGGCTGAGGCAGGAGGATCCCTTCGAGTTTGAGGCCAGCCTGGCGTATAAAGTGAGCTCAAGGCCAGCCTGAACTGCACAGTGAGACCCTGTCTCAAAAAGGCAAATAAAAAATAAAAGTATGGGGAAGGGAAAACAGATTTTCTGTTCATAAGGGGCTCACCTAGTATCTTTATTTTAAATAAGTAGCCATAATATTGGTACTTGGTTTATAATGAATTGTTCGGTGTAATTTATTGGTAATTTTGCCTCCCTGGAAGGTTTGGGTCCCTGGGCCTAACTGGTGCCAGCCTGGCAATTCTTCTCAGTCCCACTCAGACTTGGCTCCTGGCTGCTGAGGGGGTGAGACTTCTGGACACAGCACAGAGCAGGGTGTTTATTTCCTCGGCAATGCCGTGGCTTGTGCTCCCTGGATCCAGTGTGGTCTTGGGGATCATAGTCCCGTATGCCATGCTTTCTGACACAGGATGTGCCCAGGATGTAGAGAGGGATGCAGAAGCCACACCTTCACAAACAGAGCCAGCTGGCCTAATCCCTGCTGTGCCCCTGGGAGTTATAGTTTTATTATTTATTTATTTATTTTTTGTCTTTTTGAGACAAGGTCTCACTATGCTGTTCAGGCTGGCCTTGAGCTCACTTTGTAGCGCAGGCTGGTCCCGAACTTACAAGGATCCTCCTGTCTCAGCCTCCCGAGTGCTGGGATTACAGGCATGCGCCACTATGCCCGGGGATCAGCCACAATTCTGAGGTGACCTAATGATACCCCGTCCTTGATCTGTTATGCTGGTCCCTCCTGTTTCCAATAACCCTCCTCATCAGAGCTACCACTGAACCCTGTGTGACCCTCCTCTGATTCCTTACCTGTCCCCAGCTGTCCATGTGGCCCTTTCTCTACTCTGGCTTGGACAGGCAGATATATTCTCTTGATGTTCAACCCATCCCGCAGGGCCACTTACCCCCTAATGAAGCAGGGCACTTGGTCCCCGGCCTTGAGTTGGCTCAGCCACGTGGAGCAGACCCCATAGTGCAGGGGCCCCAGCCCATCTAGCGGAGGAGAGAGCCATGAGGGGTCTTACGCCCCGTCCTGCTGAGGCCAGGCCCACCTTGCTCCCAGCCTTACCCTGGGTCCTGTATGCAAGCACGGCCACAGTGAGGTGGATCTCTCCAGGGTGGGCGCTGGGTGCGGAGCTGACAGAGTAGTACCGAGGCTGGAGCAGGGGCAGCTGGGTGAGGAGCAGGGGCGCAGGCAGCGCCACGGATGGGAACTGCTCCAGTACCTCCAGCAGGGTGGGGCAGCGGAACCACTTCCACTCCTCATAGCGCCGTGGGTCCTGGCGGAGGGAGGTGCTGGGCAGGGGACCCCATTGCCCTCCCTGGTGACCTCCCTTCTTCAGCCCTCCCTACTCAGCCTCCCTAGGGTTCCTCTTTAGTTCAGGCCAACCTACACCTCTTTAAGAACTTGTGCATCCAAAAAAAGTGGAAAAAGCTGGGCATGGCGGTGCACGCTTGTGATCCCAGCACTTGGGGGGGGGGCTGAGGCACAAGGACTGTCGTTCAAGGTCAACCTGAACTACATAGTGAGACCCTGTCTCAGACAACCAAAAAGATCTTGAGCCAGGGATGGATCAGCCTGGAGTTGGGTCTTACAGCACCAGTACGCTTTGGCCAGGAGCAGAAAGCACAGGGAGGCCCTTGCATGCTGCCTCCCCTGGCTCATCTTCTGCCCTAGGTCCTGCTCCCCTCCCGGGGGCCCCACCTGGCTGAGGGCCTCCAGCTCCTGGTGTTCGCTGGGCTCTTCAGCCAGGGTGCTGAGCAGTCGAAGGAGGCGAGGGCTGGGCGGAGAGGTGATGTCCAGGAAGAAGGTGAGGGCCTGGCGCAGTGTGCATGGGGGCAGCCGGGGGTCCCGCACCCAGCCGGGGGGAGGGCCACCTGGGGGGTGCACAGGGAGGGGAGCCCTGAGGAAGGGCTGCGGCCCAGACTGTGCTGTCTGGGCTGAAGTTGATTTTGGGGGACTGACTGGGTCTCACCGCGGTTTGTGGAGAACCTGCCCTTGAATGGTGTGGGCCTGTCTGGGCAGCCTGGGTGTGTTTGTTGGGGGCCACTGGATGGACGGGGTTGGTTTGGACACCCCTTGGGTCTGGACATACCCAGTATGTCTTCATCCAGGCATTGATTTGATGGAAGATACTCCCGGTAGGGCAAGTTAGTCTGCCTGGGGAGGCCGTGGGAGGAGCCCGGAAGGAGGGCACAGCCTTTTGGGGTACATGGGGACAGGTTCTGAGAAAGGGACCATGTTTTGTCCAGCACACAGCCTGCCTGGCAGGGGTGGCACAGGTAGCTCTGAGCTGGTGCCCAGCTGGGAAGGGAGGTGGCACACAGTCCGCCAGGGCTGAGCTGGAGGGCTCTGGGCCTAGGGGATGGAGCAGGCTGTCCCTTGGTGCCCCGCCTGTCCCCTCACCGGGGCTGCCCTTCTCCAGCTGCTCCACTGCCACGGACTCGGTGGGCGGCGGCGGGTCCTCCACGCGGCTCAGCAGTGCCTCCACCAGCCCCGGCCGGTTGGGGGGACAGATGCCTATGTGGTCCCCGGGCTGGTACTGCAGCCCCTCCTGACCTCCAGTGTCCAGGCGCACCAGGATCGTGGCCCGGCTGGGAGGGGGAGGGGAGTTACAGGGGGTACCAAGGGAGGGGAAGGGGTGGGAGGATGTGGGAGGAGGCTGCTGGGGTCTGGGGACCGTAACGGGGGAGGCTTGGGGGATGGGGAGGTTGGGGCCATGGGGTGAGCTGGCCTCCTCACGTGGATTTGCTGCTTTGTAAGTTTTCCACTGAAAGGATCGTAGCCTGGAACATCTTCCGCCTGTGCACGTGGATCAGGCCTGGGGTTGACGGGGGTGAAGGAGAGAGCCTGAGCCTGGGGGCCAGGCCTAGCCCCTGGGTGAGTGAGCCCTGCCACTCCCACAGAACCAGCCAGATCGGCATGAGGTCAGGGCCGCACCTGGCAGCAACTGCAGGCCCTGAGCCTGGGTGCTCAACCGGTACCGCTGGCGCTTCCAGCTGCATTTGGGACTGAATATGTCCCTGGCGGCGGCCTTGGCGTCCTCTCCCACACAGAAAGTCTCACAGGCGGCCTGAGGGAGAAGTTGGTGACAGCTGAGGACCTCCCACCACTGGGGAGCAGCGGGAGGTGGAGCGAGACCTGTGGGATCCCCACAGCCTCCTCCTCCTTCCTCCAGGTAGCCGCAGGAGCCGCAGGTTGTTCCCGCAGGGGCACAGCTCTGGTGGTGGAGGGAGGAGTGCATGCCTCAGTTTCCCCATATTGACGTCTCTGGGTTCTGGGGAAAATGAAATGAGGTACTTTATGGAAAACCTTCAGCACAGCCTGTCTTGCTGCGGGCAGGTGGGGGTGTGCGGGGTACATATCTGCTCAGTTGAGTCGCTTGGCCCGGCCCAGGCTTGAGATCTGGGGCTGGCCTGTGATTGGCTGAGCCCCGTATCACCAGCTCCCGCTTCTGTTTCTTCTGTGGTGTGCAGTCTTATATCTCTTCCTTCCTTCCTCAGCCCCCTCCCTTCCTTCCGATCCCCATGGCTCCTGTGCCCTGGGCCCAGTCTTCTTGCTTCTAGGGTGCGCTAACTGATCCTGCGCGCCCAACATCACGGGCCTAAAGCTTCAGCATTCTCGTCCTGCTCTGCAACTTCCAGCAGCTCCTTCTGCGCACGTCGGAAGTCTTCTCTCCCACTCCTTTCTTGCTAGTCTAGGCTGCTCGTCCAGTTGGGCTACCTCCCCAGCAAACCCACCCCCTGCCTGCGCCTAGGAGCCGTCCGCCCAGCCACGGACCCCGACCTGAGGGCCTTGTGGTCTTTCTTGCAGTGGGCGGAGTCAGCACTGGGGAGCTCCAGCCCCTGCCTGGCCAGCCCCAGGTGGGATTGCCAGACAGGAAGTGCTGCCCCATGCGGAAGCTCAGGCTTATAGTCACAGACCCTGGGACACGACCTTGGCCAGGGACACCCCTGCAGGCCCGGCACTGCTCCCTGGCCTGGCCTCTGATAGCCTGAGGTCCTGTGCTGGGTTCAATTTCAGCTCTCCTTTCCACCTTCTCTCTTTCCTGCCATGCTGCCGGCCTTCTCTGTGTGTGCCCACTCGTGGGCCCGGCCTGCTGGCTGGGTGAGGGGTTAGGGACATCAGGGACTCACCTGGAAGGCCGCCTGGGCCCAGCCACGGAAGGCCTCTTCCTGGCCGCACAGCTCGTCGCCTTGGCCCAGCTGCAGTAGACGCTCCCCACCCAGCTCCTCCAGCCTTGTGTCCACCGCTCGGGCGAAGGCGCAGAAGTGTGGGTATGCCCGGGAGCCCAGCCCGAATACACAGAACCTTGGGTACAGGGAGCCGCTGCTGGAGCCCCCATGCCAGCCCATGTCTGCCTGGGCAGCTTGCCCCCATGCACCCCGTTTGGTGAGGACTCCCAACCTGAGGGTGCCCAGGGCCCCCGCGCTGTCTGTGTTACTGGACTCCTTCCGCTTCCGCCGCCAGGAGGACACCAGCGGGTCGGAGCAGGACACACTGTTGAAGCGGATTTTGTAGCTCCTGGCAAGAGAGGGGGAAGACAAGGGTGTCACGGGGAACTGGAGGTGTGGGTGAGGCCCAGCCTGGGCCTGGGGCAGGAAGGGCCTGCCCTTGGGAGGGGCCGAGGGGCAGCTCTGACGGTTCAGCCTGCCTCCCCTCCCTCTGAAGGGGGTACAGGACTGTCCAGCTTTTTAGAAGCCTGGGGCCCCAGAGCGGGGAGATCCTCAGGAAGGAAGGGAGGGGCCCCCTGGAGCTAGGGTGGTCCCCAGACCTTGCTTTGTCCCCTGTTTGGGTAGATTGGGGGTGCCCTTCAGAGGCGTTGGGTAGATTGGGGGTGCCCTTCAGACCTCCTTTTCTCTCCTTGCCTCCCCAAAGCTGCTGTGGCCACTTACTTGTGCTGCTCTGGCCGAGGGGAGCTGTTGTAGGGGCCAGACATCTCCATCAGGGCGGCTGCAAAACTCTGCCCAGGGAAGTGTTTGAATCACGGTTAGTTTTGCTACATTTCAAACTATACGGAAACTTAAAACAACTAGGCTGAGCTGGATGCGGTGGCGCACATCTTTGATCCCAGTATAATGAAGCAAGAGGACACAGATTTGAGCCCAACCTGGGAAATTTAGTGACTTAGTGAGACCCTGTCTCAAAATAAAAAAATATAATAAAAAATTAGCTTGGAGTATAGCTCAGTGCGGAGGCCCTGGGTTCAACTCCAATACTATAATTAAAAAGTAAAGCTGGGCATGGTGGCACACGCCTGTAATCCCAGCACTCAGGAGGCTGAGGCAAGAGGATTGCTGTGAGTTTGAGGCCAGCCCAGGCTACAAAGTAAGTTCAAGGCCAGCCTGAACTGCAGAGCAAAATCCTGTCTCAAAAAATAAAATAATAAAATATAATAAAATAAAAAAGAGAAGATCCTACCACATATCTCTGGTCTGGGCAAAGATACCAATTCAAGATTTGAAATACCGTTTCTAATACGTACATCTTGCTTTCATACGTTCATAAAATAAAAGCCCTAAGTCAGACCACCCTAAGTTGGGGACTATCTGTACTTATGTCTATGTGTATATTTATATATTTTTAAAAAAGAAATGGGAAGGTTCACTGTGTAGCCCAGGCTGGCCTTGAACTGGCAGTGATCCTTCTGCCTCAGCCTCCCAAGTGCTGAGATTACAGCGTGCATCACCATGCCTGGCTAAGACTAGTATTTAAAAAGTAAATAAAAGAAAAAAAGTAAAGCGATCCATGCATAGGCCAATAAGGCTCTGCCATGAACCCAGCATTAATGGTACACCTAACTGTGAGTATATGAGATACAATGAAAGAATACTAAACTAAAATGACGTAATAACAACATTTACCTCAGATAATGGCTGCGAGAATGGAAATAGTTAATACATTTTAAACACTCAGAACAGTTCCTGGCACATAGTAAGCACTGTACCATGTAAGTGGTTTGTTGTTTTTATTTTTACTTGATGCCAGTGGTAACTACTACTTACTATGCAAGTAAAAGTAGTACTTATTAAAAAAAGTAGGGGCTGGGGATTTAACTCAGCGGCACAGTGCCTGCCTGGCAAGCATGAGGTTGTGAGTTCGATTCCTGGTACTGGAAAAAAAAAAAAAGTAGATGTGGGTAGATGTGGGACTGAACTATACTTCTAGTTTTATGAATAACCTATCACGGAATCCTTCCGGGTCGGTACATCAAGCCTGGCCTCCTTTCTATGGCTATGTTGTGTTCCACCACTCAGGCACCACCATGCATCACTTTCCTCTGACTGAGGACATTGTCAGGTCGCACACAGTGCCCAGCAGAGCCCTACACACACACACACACACACACACACACACACACACACACACACACAACACACACACACACACACGCACACACACACACACCCCTGCATCACCATGTGCGTGTCTCAGGCAGGTGGGCCCGTGTGTAAAGCTTGGTTGGGGGAGTTAAATTGTACTGTGGCAGCAGGCTAGGGGACGGCTCCGTCCTACCCACACAGCACTGGGTGTGAGAGGTCGATAATACTTTGGCCAACTTCCTGGGAGGACAGGGCTCAGTGCCCTTGGAGTGCCCGGCTCTGCCATGGGCATCGTTACGTGGTCCTCCTCAGGAGGCCGCACCACACCTTCCTGCTGCCTTGAGTATGGCCTAGAACTACAGTAAAGCTTCACATAGGGGAAAAAAGCAAAAAAGAACATTTAAATACGAATGTGATAGGGTTGGGTGGTGGTTTTATAGTTCACCACAATTAGCATGTGAAATTTGAATGGCATTATTTTTTAATGCTTTGTTTAAATATAATATCAGAAAAGCGTATGTGCCATAAATGTATAGCTATATGGATTTCTTTTTGTCTTTTTGACAGTTCAGGCTGATCTTGAGTTCACTTTGCAGTGATCCTCCTGCCTCAGCCTCCTGAGTGCTGGGATTACAGGTGTATGCCACCATGCTCAGCTGGATTTTTCACAAAGTGAACACACCTGTGTAATTAGCATCCATCCAGAACTATCTCCACCATCCTAGAAGTCACCTTCATGCCCCCAACCTAGGGGTGCTCAACTGCTCTCCTGAGTTCTGACACTGTGGGTGCTTATTATTATTTTTTGTCTTTTTGAGACAGGGTCTCACTATGCAGTTCACGCTGGCCTTGAGCTCACTTTGTAGCCCAGGCTGGTCTCAAATTCGCAACGATCCTCCTGCCTCAGCCTCCCCAGTGCTGGGATTACAGGTATGCGCCACCACACCTGGCTTTGACACTGTGGCTTATTAGTGCTGCCTGTTTTTGAACTTTATACAAAGTGAATCCTACGATATGTGCTCTTTTCTATCTGGCTTCTTTTTACTGTTTTGTTTTGAGGTTCATCAGTATTGTGTGTGATATAATTTGTCCACACTCCCTGCCGTACCACCTTTGAATGTACAATTTATTTCTCCAGGCTGTCACTGATTGTCATTTGAACTGTTTCCAGTGTGGGGTGTTATGAGCAATGCTGTTACAAATACTCTTGTTCACATTTTTGATGGATATGCCCCATTTTCTGTGGGATAGAGCCCTGCATTTACTCCATTCAAAATTCTGTGGTAAGATTGACATGAGCAAACTTGCTTGGCTATTTAGCAGTTTTTAAAAAGGCGGGGGGGGGGGAGAAACTTAGATCTACCCTATGACCTAGTAATTCCATTTGTAAGTATTTATCCAAGAGAAATGAAAACATAAGCCCACAAAAGCCTGGTAAAAGAATGTTCATAACAGCTTTCCTCAGAATAGTCCCAAACTGGAAGCAGCCCAAGTTGTCTGTCAGCGGGAGATGGATAAACAAGCTGGGGTAGTGACACAATGAACGCCACTCCTCAGCAGAAAGGGACAAAGTACTGAATCATGCAACTGAATCGTGGACGAGTCTCAAAAAACAGGCTGAGTGACAGAAGCCACGGTACTGCGTGCTTCCACTTCTGTGACATTCTGGGGGAGGGGAAACCCATCTCTCATGACAGATTCCAACTGCAGCAGGGAGACAGACGGGGAAGACTGGGACTTGGAGGAACTGAGGAGGGAACTTCCTCAGCCGATGGAAACGTTCTGTGTCTTGTTAGGACCGTGGGTTGCACGGGGGGATGGACTGCTTTCATGTGAATACATTAATTCATGGTGCTACTTAAAATCCATGTGTTGGAAACCTAAAGTCAAATGTTAGTAATACTTGGGGGTGGGACCTTGGGAGGTGATTGGGTCCCCAGGGCCATCTGCCCACCCACTCCTCCACCCACAAGGTGTGGGATGAATGGGTTGGGGCAAGGGTGGCTTTGTGACAAAGCGAGCTCTCTCTCGCACACCTGCTCTGTCTTGCCACATGATACCCTCTGCCACGCAGTATGTAGCAAGCAGGCCCCACCATATGCCAAGCAGATGCTGAGGCAGGTGCTATTTGTCTTTAAGCGGCTGATCTGCACGAGGGCTGACATTTTAAAGACTTGCATCCAGAATTCAAGGCTGCTTTAGGGGGGATTTAGAGTAGTCTACTGGAGAGATACTCAGTGGCTAATAAGGTTTAACACCTGGGTCCAGCAGATGAGAGGGCCCGAAATGCATGCGGCTTGGGGCACTCTACAGATGCACAGACTAGAATGGTTAACAGCGAAGCAAGCCCGGGAATATAGCTCAGTGGAATCGCGCCTGCCTGGCAAGCAGGAGGTCCCGAGTTCGATTCCCAGTATCAAAAGAAAGAAAGAAAGAAAGAAAAACCCATGGAAATATTGATCATTCAACTGTCAAAAAAACCCCCCCGTCTCAAAAAGACAAAAAAAAAAAAGAAAGAAAGAAAGAAAGAAAGCCAGGCATAGTGGTGTACCCCTGTAATCCCAGCACTTAGGATGCTGAGACAGGAGGATCATTGTGAGTTTGAGGCCAGCCTGGGCTACAAAGTGAGTTCAAGACCAGCCTGAACTGCATAGGGAAACTCTGTCTCAAAAAGACAAAAAAAAAAAAAAGTTGTTGAGCAAGGCCAGTTGACTAATCTAGGCTGGCATGTTAAGAAAAGGAAAAAAAAAAGGAAAGAAAGAAAAGGGAAGGGAAGGGAAAGAATGATGAAAAGCGTAAGGAGGGGACTGAGTGGGCTCTTGCTGTTTTTCTTCCTTGTCAGTACCCAGGGGCAGTCTGACCTGGGGGACCAGCTAGGAAGTGCCTTTGCCACATTAAAAACTTGCGCTAAGATGGAGATGACTGGGGACGCAGCTAAGCGGATGTGGGTGTGCATGGGTTTGGGGCTTGGCTTGGAAAGGCTGGGGTTCCTGGTGGCAGGCCCACTGACACTCACATGAAGCTACCTCTGAATCTGCATTTTCTGCCATAGGGTGTGTGAGTGTGTGTGTGTGTGCGCGCACGCGCGTGTGCCCATGCCTGTCCAGCCACGACACCCACCCTCCTCATTCCCAGGGGCCCCTCTCTGGAAGGCCTCACCTCTCCGTTCTCCGGAGGATCCCCATTCCCAAATGTGCTGGTCACCACCAACACCAGCGTCTCGTGCTCGAGGGACACCACGTCGTACTCATCCATGCACAGGACCTGTGGGTGAGAAGACCGATGTCCCAGGACTCAGCCCCCTGCTGCCCCTGTCCCGACACTGGGCCTCCTTGGCAGGCAGGGCAAGACTCAGACCCTGACTCCGTCATGGAAGCCCTGTGCATGCCAGGGTGCTTGTGAGCCAGACTGTGGCTCCTCCCGTCCTCCAGGGCATCTCTGAAGACACTGGCAGAGCCCCCACCACATCCAGCGCCCTGCCCCCTGGGCTCAGGCCTACCCGGGGATCAAACGCCTTCCGGAAGAGCCTCCCCAGCTGCTGTGCATAGCTCTGGGCCCGGCCGGTCTCGGAGCCATACAGGATGGTGGCCTTCACCCGCTTAGCCATCACCGTGCCCATGAGTGAGGCAGAGATCTTCACTGCGCTGTGGGCAAGGGTGTGATGTGGGCATCCTGGTAACAGAGGTGGGGCCTCCCTGGGCAGGGGTCCAGCCCATCACACAAGGTCTTGGGGCGCCACGGTAGGGCTGGTCCTACAGCAGCTACGTAGAGGGAGGGCACACCCCTAGGGTACCCACTTGGCTACTTCCTTAAAGGTCTTCTTCCTGGTGATGCCGGTGCCCTTGGCTCCACTCCCCTTCCAGGGGTCTGGCTGCGGGGAAGCAAACAGGGCACAGAGGGCGGGGTGAGTGGGCCCTGGAGGCTGCTTGGCAGGAGGTAGGTCCAGGTGGGCAGGAACCATTGGGGTGGGCACCTGGTAGCGGAAGGCAGGGGATAGGAAATAGTTGACCATTTCCTGGTGGAAGACGGGAGTGAGGCTGCCTGAGATGGGGGGCACGATCCAGGCCCAGTCGGCAGGGCAACCGCCCCTGGCCTTCTGCTCGTTCTCCAGGTGCTTCATGAAGGAGGCTGTGGCAGCGTGGTGGTCCACGATGGTCACTTTGGCCAGCTGAGGACAGGGGCGGGGAGGCTGGGCTCAGAAGCGCCCTACAGATCCTTCCCATTCTGCCTCCACCGCTTCTGTCACCCCAAGCCACACGGAGCCCGGGTCACCACAGCCCTAACATACACACACTCTGTCCCTTCCAGCTGCTGTGCCACCTCTAGCCTGCAGCTCGTTTGGTCCTGCTGCTCCAAGTTCTCCACCCAGCAGAAGTTCTAACCTCCAGATTTGTTTGCTTTGCCCCAAAGCCAAAATTTCATCAATCTGGAACTCCATTAAAAAGTACTCAGCAGGCATGACTGTCCTCAGCTATATCTCCCAGCATGCACTATGCTCTCTACCCAGCATGCACTCTGTCTTGGTATTAGAGGTTCCAGATCCTCTGAGGGTCCCGCATTAGGCCCTGGCTTAGAATCACTGAGCAAGGTTCCTGGCATGCACTAGGTGCCCCCATGATACCCCCTGGCATGGCACCATTGTGTCTAGAGCTCAGGCCTGCTGTGTCCTGTGGCACATGGACTGTGGACCCCCACCTTTGGGAGACCTGTCCTAGCATCTCCAAGCCTCCTCCCCTTTTGCCTGCCCCTGCCCCCAGCCCCTTGCCCTCCTGGCTGGTCTGGTCTGGGCACCTGGTAACTGTGCAGTACGGCCACGTTGATCTCCACCGCTGCCTTGTCTTTCCACAGGGACGAGGTGGTGCGAGTGTCCAGGTCCATGCAGACAGCCACGTCCTGGCAGCAAGAGCACAGCATTGGCAGGGACAGAGGTGATGGGACGCGGAAGGAGAGTAGCTCTCCTCTAACTCTGGGGAAAGGAGTGAGGGATGGGTAGCAAGGGGTTGACCCTCCAGGATGGCTGGCTCAGTTTTTTTGCCTGCAGAGGGCCTTAATTTCTCCTCCCTGAAATGAACATTAACTTTTTTTTTTCTGAGGTTGAATCCAGGGCCTTTGAACCGAGCTATACCCTTAGCCCTTCAGACAGGGTCTAAATTGATAAATTGCCCAGGCTGGGATTGAGCTCACAACACTCCTCCTGCCTCAGTCTCCCAGGGTGCTGGGAGAGCTACATGTGATGGTGCATGCATGCAATCCCAGCCCTCGGGAGACTGAGGCAAGAGGTTCACTGCGACTTCAAGGCCAGCCGGGGCTACACGGTGAGCTCACGGCCAGCTTGGGATACCTAGCCAAACCCTGTTTCATAAAAACAAAAACAACAACAAAACAGCAGAATGTTAGGAATCCCATGAGCGTACACCACCATGTCGGGTGTGGATCTTAACTTTTTTGAGTCCAGGTCCCTTTTGAGGATCTTATGAAAACTGTGGAACTGTCGATCCTAGCTAGCTCAGGAAGCACGTGCACGCGTTGTCACAAGCACACACACAGACACACGGACACACACTGTGCCCCAGCCTCTGTGGTACCAGAGCCCTGGTCCTTGCACCTGACTCAGCTCAGCTTTTCCCGTGGCCGGTGCTGTCCTCTCACCTCCAGGATGTTGTAGCGGTGCGGGTCGCAGAAGTTCCTCATGCCGATCTCGCTGCTCATGTACCAGCCGCTGAAAGGGGCCGCGGGGAACTCCAGGCCGCCGATTTCCAGCAACATGTTGGACACCGCGGGGAGGGCGTACCAGCGCAGGCCCAGGGCCGCGAACCATTCCAGCCTGGGGGTGTAGCTGGGTCAGCCTTTGCCCGGCGCCCCCCCCGCCCCTCCCCCACCCTGGCCCTCTTGTGCTCACGTCGGGTGCTCCAGGGGCACCTCCAGGACCAACTCGGGGGACAGAGTGAAGAGCTCGGGCGGCTCGTCGGGGGCCTGCAGCAGCAGGGGCAGCACGTCGAAACGGCCGTTTCCCGGGGTCCAGCCGTGCTGCACACAGAGCTGTGGGGAGCCGGTGGCTGGTGTCTGCGAGGCTCCACCGCTGTCTTTCCCAGGTCCTTCCCCTTCACCAGTGTCCACCCTTCACCTCAGGGACCCCTCACTGGCTGGGTTTCCAGACCTACCCTGGAAGCCCTTCTTTGGCATCTCCCATCCTTCCCAAGGAGGGACCCCTTCTTCCTGCTCATAGATCTGCCCTCTACCTTTTAGTATGGGAGATTGAACTCAGGACCTTCACACTGAGCTACATCTGCAGCACTTTGTTTTTTATTTTCAGACAGGGTCTTGTTAAGTTGCTAAATTGCCCAGGCTGGACTCAAACTTGAGACCCTCCTGCCTCAGCCTCTCAGAGTGTTGGTGCGACAGACCTGAACATCCATACCTGGCTTGAAGAACCTCTACGGCTGGATTCCCCGTGCCTCCTCCCACTGGTTTCCCTGTCTCATCTCAGTGCCCACCTCTGTGATCTCCACATTGGCGGGGTCTCCCCGCACGGAGCCATCCTGCTGCCTGTAGCCGGCGTAGCGCACCAGCTGGCTGTTCCAGATGCGGAAGTCTCCGCGGCCCGGGCAGCGCTGTGGGAACACTGTGATGGCCGAGCTGAGGGCGAGAGGAGCTGGTCAGGGTTCTTCCTTTGGGGCGCCTGGCGCAGGTTGGGGTCTGGGGCATGGCAGGAGCACTCACCGGAGGTTGCCCCGGTTGGTGGCATACTTGACGTGGTTGCAGATGTAGGTGAACATCTCCTGCGCAGACCTGCAGTCCCGGGCGTCAAACACCTGCACTGGCCAAGGGGTTGGGAAGGGCGAGGAAAGATGGGGACCTGAGTGCCTGCCCTCAGGAGTCTTGGGGTGTAGCCCGCTGGGAAGGAGGAAAGGCTGGGGGTGGTTTGGTGTGTACTGGACCAGCTTCCCTGCTCCTTTGCTGCCAGCTGCCCTGCACCCCCACACCCTCCAAATCCTGCTCGGAGCCCCTTCCTGGGCCATGATCTCCCCACACTCCCGGAGCTGACTGGATACCTGGCACAGGGATGTGGCACAGCCAGCCGACGTCCACCTAGGGATGGGGAGCCCCTGGGGCTGTGGGCAGGGAGCCGCCCACTGACTGCAGTGTCCCACAGAGGCCAGCGACCCCGTCAATCACTACTCCCTGTGCACACTGATGTTGGGAGGGGTGGCTGCGCTAGGTGGGCTCCGGGAAGCCTGCCGGCTGACATTCTAATGCCAGGGGGTGTTACTGCAGAGGCCAAGGAGGGGTTCCCATTTCCTCCTGTCAGGGAGGAACCTTGCAGCAGGGGCTGGCCTGGGGCCCTTTGGGGATACTTCACAGGTCCACACTGAGCTACAGGTTCGAACAGCTGCAAGTGTTAGGCTCATGTCCATCTCACTGGGGACACTTTTGAGTGTGCTGAGTGTGTCAGGCAGTCAGCTAGGGGCCCTTTCCGGAAGCCACTCTCTTGGGATTTTTGTTTTTGTCCCCCGCACTGCCAGCATTGCTGTAGGGCTTCCCAATCAGGTGGCAGCAGTGGGGCTGAGGGCCTCCAGGAGCATCTTCCGTCCCCCACTGTGAGGCACCTCCAGGGAAGCTCAGGAGCAGCCCATGCCAGTCCCCTCCCCTCTGTCCCCCACCCCGTGGACCAGCCCACTGGCCGCACCTGCAGCTTCCCCCACTGGATCCGGCCCACACAGCGGGGGGCGTTGCGCCAGGCCTGCTTGGCCCCAAACACCAGCTCACTCTCCCGGAGCTGGTACGTCCCTGTGGCCGCCACCTCAGCCTCCACCTCCTGCAGCCGATGCTCGTGGGCCAGGGAGCCGCTCCTACGGAGGAGGGAGGGCCCACAGTTGGGCAACAGGGTGATCCTGGGGTTCCTAAGGTCCCAGTGGGACGAGGAGGGCTGGGGTGTCTGGGGAGGTCTCACCTCTTGATGGAGCTGTAGTACTGGTTGATGAAGTCCCTGGCCTGACCCAGCAGCTGCTCCGGAGGCGGAGGGGACTGGGAGGGCCGGCCCTGCAGTTTCCTTGGAAATACGAGGGAGCCCAGGCAACGTCTTGGGGTGCAGGGCCCATCCTGGTTCAAGGGGCAGGGAGCACAGAGGCCCAGCAGCTCAGGGTGCAGTGTGTGTCATGGGGGTCGTGGGAGGGAGGGCCGAGGGAGATGCGGGTTCAGACAGGAGTGGGACTGGAAGTAGGGCTGAGGCGGGACTGTGTGGGGCAGAACCCGGGGCAGGACTTGGATAAGGGCTGGGGGCTGAGGGCCACCAGCGTCTCCTGCACACCCCTCCCTCCTCTGGTTCTCCCCAGTTTGTACCTCTTTTTAGAGACAAGGGCAGGATGGAGTTTCCTCACTCTGGCCTCTGCTGAGACCAGCCCCCCCAGCCCCCAGAGATGTTTTGGGGCCGCCTCACCTGCTGAGCCTGGGCGCTGAGGGTGTCGTAGGCAATGCTGCCCACCTCCCAGTTCTTCACTCGAGGGAACTTGGGCCCCTCTGGGGGCTGGGTTAGCGGGGGACTGTTTGGAGCCAGGGATGGAGTCACAGGATGGAGTCTGCTTTCTTTTGCCTCCCCCTGTGCAACCTGGAGGCCGCTCCTGCAGCACAGACGACCTCCTGGTTGATTGAGTCCCTGCCAGCTGCTTCCTGCACTTTCTGTTAGTCTCACAACAACCCTGGGAGGTGGGAGGAACCTGTGGCCCTGCTTACAGATGAGCGACCCGAGGCTTGCAAAGTCAGGTCCCTGCCAGAGCGTGCACAGGTGGGACCTTCACTCCCACTCCACATCTGGGCTTCTGATGCCAGAGGCTGCAGCGTGCCCACCTGGTCTCCCCTGCAGAAGGGCTGCTGCTGGGGTTTGAATGGGTCTCCCAGTTTCACGTGCTGGACATTTGGTCCCCAGTGCAGGACTTTTGGGAAGTGAAGGGGTTGAAAGGCTTGTGCCCTCAGGAATGGACGCTCCCGGCCTAAATTAAGGGACAAGTGGTTTAGTGGGTTCTAGCAGCACGGCTTTGTTATAAAAGCAAGCTCTCGAGCTGGACATGGTGGTGTGCAACTGTAATCTTAGCACTCAGACGGCTGAGGCAGGAGAATTATCAGGAGTTCAAGGCCAAGCTGGACTACATAGCCAGACCCTGTGTCCAAAAAACAAACAAACGAAAAAGAGCAAGCTCTCTATGGCAGGTGCTGTCTTGCTTTCCTGCCTCGTGTAGATGTGGGCAGGGCCTCACACGAGGTGGAGCAGACACCTGTGCCACGCTGTTGGACTTCCGGCCTCCAGAGCCACGAACAAAGGACACCTTTCTGTATCACCTGCCTCCAGTACTGCATTCTAGAACAGACAGTGGACTAGGACAAGTGTCTGGCCCCTGCGTTGTTAGGAGCGCTACTTGAGGGGCCGGACACACGCTCAGGCTGAGGGGAGCCCAGCTGGGATTCCTCAGCCCTGATTTTCCTTCCACTCACACCCCTCCTGACAGTAGCCTGTGTGAAGGGAAGCCCTGGAGGCCTTATCACTTCCTCCCAGAGCCGCCAGCCAGAGCGGGAGGAAGGGAGGGACGCAGGCCCCCTGTGCCTGGGCCGCAGGGCTCAGCCGTCCGCAGGAGCAGCCTGGCCTGCACCCCACTTGGCTCCTGGTCCTTCTCCTCTCCAGGGACCTTGGCTCTAAGGGGGCTGTTCTGGGACCTGTGGCTTGCAGGGTCCAGGCTGGGGGTCGGTGGCCACTGGGAGGGAGCCCCGGAGCAGGGAAAGGGCTTAGCAGCTCCGTCTTTGCAGCACCCCCACCCCAGGTCCTGGGTCTCCTGGTCTAGCTCTCTCCCCTTCCCATGACACCCCACTTCTCCCTCTGCTAGGACAGTCACCCCCCAGCGCCTCACTCCTCCAGTTCCGCAATCACCACTGCTGAGTGTTGGAGGCCTGCTGTCAGCTAGAAACTCACAACCTGGTGGGGTAAGTAGCACCACATCCCCCTTTATATAAACAGGTCAGAGAGGTTAAGTAACTTGCCTACTGTCCACAGCTCTTGGTGGCAAAGCAGCATTGAGACCAAGGCCCACTGCAGTAGCAGGATCTTTATACATTCACCTGTCACCAGCCAGTCCTGACCCTGATCTGTCTGTTTGTCTCTTTCTTCTTTTCTTTCTTGTTTTTTTGAGGCAAGGTCTTGCTATGTAGTTCAGGCTGGACTTGAACTCATTATATAGCCCAGGCTGGCCTCGAACTTGCGCTGGTCGTCCGGGCTCGCTCTCCTGAGCACCAGGATTACAGGTGTGCACTAGCACGCCCAGCAACCCTGGTCTGCCTCACGAGCCTCCTTGCCCGTCCTGTTCTATCCACACCAGGAGCCTTGCACTGGCGACCTGGCCCTCTGGCTAGGACGTGGGCTCTAGCCTCGGACATCAGGTGTCTGCACTGCCCTCCTGCCCACTGCTCCCAGCCATGCGGCTCTCACCTGTGGTCTGGTGCTGGCGGGGGCAGAGGTGGGGATGCTGGTGCCCGGCTGGGTTCTGATGCCGACGCTGGCGCTGGAGAGGCCGGGCCCTGCTTGCCGCACAGCCCCAGGCCCAGCCCCAGCCCCAGGCCGCAGGGCGGCCCAGGCTCCTGGCCCACACTCTTGAAGTTGCCCATGTCAGCTTCGCGTCAGCTCTGCCACCCGCTCCAACAGAGTCCTGGCCTTTTCCTTAGGAAGCAGGGAGGGGGCTGAGGGGAGGGGGACTCTCCAGTGCTGGCCCTCGCCCCGCCCCTGTCCCCTACACAATGGGACAGGAACAAGGCCGGCTGGGAGGCTCTAAAACCTCGGCTCCACGCCCGCTGGCCCAGAGGGTGGGGGGCCGGACGCCTGGGTTCCGCCATAAGGACCAGAACTGATAAGTGGGGACCCAGGTGTCTGATGGCGGCCTGGGGCTGGCATGTAGGTGCTGGGCCTGCGGGGAATGGTGGGGAGGAGCAACAGAGGGTCCGGAGGTGTCAGGTCAGAGGGGCCGGAGGCCCTCAAGCATCTTGTTGGTGACTGTGGGATGGAATCCCCATTCCTAATGACCGCAGGGACCTTGAGGCTCACCTGCAGCCCTCTCTTTCTAATCTCAGAGTCCTCTGGAATTCTTGGGGATGCGGGTCCAGCAAGGGTCCAGTGACCCTTTGTTCTGCGTCAGGCCTTAGGGTATCCTTTCCTTCCCAGCTTCAATTTCCTGGAACCCCGCCCCCCCCATGACTCAAGTGGGGGGGACACAAAAGGACAGGAAGCTGCCATCCAGGGCCCCCACCCCAACCCTGTCATCCAGTGACGCATGCTTCCCTGGGGTGGCAGGTTAGCAGAAACCTGGCCATCAGGGCAGGCGCAGGACAGCCCATGGGAGAGCGCTTGGAGGCCTGGCAAACTACACTTCCCAGCATGCAGGGGGTGCTCACTGGCACTCTTCAAGCACCTTTGGCAGAAATGCATGCTGGGGTTTGTAGTTCTGTGCCATCTAGGAGCTGGAGAAGGGCTGGAAGCGGGGTATCAAGGTTCACAGGGGTGGAAGCCTTGTGGGTCGGAGACTCAGAAACTGAGCGAGACTGCGGGGAAAGAAACAGAGGCTGGGAGCCGGGTAGGGGCAGAGACTGGGAGGGGCAGACTGGCAGACAAACAAACATGTGGATTTGTGTTGGCCAGACTCCTGTGGAAGGCAGTAGAGGATAAGATTGGGGTGGCCTGGGTGAGGGGCCAGCAGGCGGGGTGGCGGGAAGGAACAGGCTGTGCTGAGCTCTGGGGTCACCGGAAGGTGGGGTCTGCCAGTCTGTGAGGGTGGAGGGGAAGGGGCGTTGTGGACCGCAGAAGCCCAGCCTGGGCGTGCAGTGGGGGGGGCAGGAGGCTGTGCTCAGTGGGCCGCACCCCGAGCTCCCCCAGCCTGACGCCTGGTTCCTTTGGGGGTGCGGGAGAGATGGGATCCAGCCCCGCTCTCTGAGACCTCTCAGCCATGCCGCTGAGACAGACGCACCCGGAATCTTGCTGCTGTGTTCAGCCACCACTAAAGTGCGCACACCCAAGGACTCTTCTTCCCAGCTTCCAGGCGAGGGAGCTGCGACCGGCCTCTGGGCCAAAGTGACAGCCAGGGCAAGACGCTGACACCCTTGGGACTTTGCGATGCTCCCCCGGCCTCGGCCCTCCTGGGGGAATCTCCCGAAGCTACATTGCTGCGGTATTCCTCTTAAAAGCAGCGCTCGCCTCACACCTGGGGTCTACTCAGAACCTCCAGGCAAGGCCAAGCCACTTCAGGCACTGGCCTGTCCTCTAGACCCCCAGCGCATGCTCACACCCCTGCGTCCTTCCAGTCAGAGCTGTGCCGTGTTCCAGACCCGTCTCCTCCCCCCCCCCGTTTCCGCTCTCCCATTGCTTTCTCAGGCATCACCCTCCCTAGTGCTCTTCAGCTGCTCCAGCTGTTTCTCGAGGTCTGCTTCCCAGAGGTCCCAAACCACACAGCCCCTAGTGACGCCCAGAGAGGCCTTGCTCAGCACCCCTCCCGCACACCCCGGGCGGCTCTTTGCTGTCCTGTCCCCAGGTCCCGGGCCCATGTCTTCCTCCAGGTCCCCCGGGCTGTGGTTTTCAGGTAGCTGACTCTGCGTCCAGCTTCACCTGGTGAGGTGAGCGCTCTGGAGGCCTGGGCCGCTGCTGCGGGTTTGGGAGTGGCTGCAGGGTCTGAGCATGCGCACGGAGGGTGGCCCTGCACACTGGCTTGTGCCAAGGGAGCGGGCCATGAGGGAGCGCTCTCGTGCCAAGAGCAGGTAGGTCCATTTCACACAGTGCTGAAGGCTCTGGCCACAGGGGCCCAGGTTGGGTTTGGTCTGGGCAGAGCACACCAGGCAGGATTTAAGAAAAGAAAAGGGACTGCAAAGGTCAGAGGTGAGGCTCTGCTAAGGAGGACGTCTCCTTCTCCTCCCTCCTAGGATCGCCTGTTCTGACTTCTGTCAAGGCGCTGGAGGGCGACAGTGCTGTGGAGAGGGAGAGATAGAGGGGGTTGGTGAACAGCTCTGCGCTGTAGTTAGGTAAGAGAAAAGGGTCCTGGTGGGCTGTTGCCCAGCAGGGTGACTGGAGAGCTATAATGTGCTGCGTGTGTGTCCAAAGAGCTAGAGGAAAGGCTTTTGCTCAAGGTAGTTGGAAATTACACAATAGATGTATGTATAGGGTCAGGGATATAGATCAGTGGCACAAGCGCCTGCCTGGCAAGCACAAGGTCCTGAGTTCAATTCCCGGTACAAAAAAACCTCCCCAAAACAAAACAAAAAAACCAATAGATGCATGTATGGAAACATCACATGATACCCTATGAAGATGGGTAATGTTTATGTGTCAGTTAAAAAACAAAACGAGGCCAGGGGTAGTGGTGCGCACCTGTCATTCTAGCAGTCTGGGAGGCTGAGGCAGGAGGATCACAAGTTAAAGCCCAGCCTGGGCAACCTGGGGACTTAGTGAGACCCTATCTTAAAGAAAGAAACAAACAAACCCTGGGGATGTAGCTCAGGGTGAAGACTCTGGGTTCCATCCCCAGTACAGCAAACAAATAAAACAAAATGAAAAACAGTGCCCATCCTGACAGGTATTGAGCCCTGCACCTCTCTCTTGTTTTTTAGGGCTCTGTCTTCTACTTCGGCTTTTTTTTGCCATATCTGTGCATCTAATGACTCTCTGCTTGTACTGGCAAAGGTATTATTTTGCTTTATTTAGCAAATTAATTTTACTTGTTTTTTAGAAGTTTATTTTTCTTGGTTCATGTTTGCAGCGCACAGTGATCCCGTTCCTCGCGAGAAGCTGGTACGCGTGCGTGCATAACGCATCTCCATTCTTCTCACGCCGCTTTCCCTCGCTCCCTGCACCGCCACCATCTTTTAGTAAGAAGCGCATTTTTTTTTTCCTTTTTTTTGGGGGTGTGCGTTGCAGGTACTGGGAATCGAACTTAGGATCTCATGCTTGCCAGGCAGGCCCTATGCCACTGAGCTAAATCCCCGGCCAACACCTGCATTTTTTTTTTTTTTTTTTTTTTTTTTTTTTTTTTTGTCTTTTTGAGACAATGTCTTGCTATGTAGTCCAGGTTGGCCTTGAACTCACTTTGTAGCCCAACCTGAACTCTCGGTGACCCTCCTGCCTCAGCTCCTGAGTGTTGGGATTACAGGCGTGCGCCACCACGCCCAGCTTAACAACTGCATTTTTTTTATTTTTTAATTTTTTTTTTTTTGTTTTTCTTCCGGTACCAGGAATCGAACTCACGATCTTGCGCTTGCCAGGCAGGCGCTTTGCCACTGAGCTAAATCCCCAGCAACAACGGCACTTTAAAGAGCAATTTGTGAAACAAAATTTCCAAGGTTTCAGGATACAACTGTACTGAAAAGAAATAATTTAAAATTTAAGTCATGGGCTGTCGAGGTAGAAGGGTTTTTTTTTTTTTGTTCTTATTTGTTTTGTCTTTTTGAGACAGGGTCTCGCTGTGCACTTCAGGTTGGCCTTGAGCGCACTTTGTAGCCCAGGCTGGTCTCGAACTCGTAGTGATCCTCCTGCCTCAGCCTTCTGAGTGCTGGGATTACAGGGGTGTACCTCCGCGCCCGGCAGAGGGAGCGTTGATGGTGTGGTTGGAGCACAGCCCCTCCATCCCGAAAAATGCTGAGTTTCTGCTGCTGGCCCAGGCCCACCCCTCCCTGGCCCTGGTGGGCAGGTGACAGCCTTCTGGGGTGAGTAGGAGGCCCCTCCTGGGAGGCCCTGGTCCCTGGTACTCTCTGTTCCTGTCTGAACCTCGAGAAGGCGTCAGATCTCGCTCCTGCCTTCCTTCTTAGACCAGAGTGCGTGCAGGCCCGGGAGGTGGGGCTGCCCTGAGCGGGGGACGCCTGTGTGGGGAAGCAAAGGTCCTGGGCTCAGGGCAAGTGTGCGTGGGCGGCGAAGGGTGGCGGGTGGCGGGTGACGGCAGCGGAAGGCCCTGACTCTCTACAGCCCAACCCGGGGTTGTTCAGTGTGAGCTGGAAGTGTCCCACCCGCTCCACTATGAGCAGCTTCCTTCCTGCCTGTGGGCAGGGACTGGGTGGGGAGCCGAGGGGAAAGGAGGGATGGCAGACGAGAAGCCAGGCGGAGCGGGAAGGGGCAGCCCTTGCCTGCCAGGCGGCTTCCCTCCTCCTCAGGATGTAACTCACGCGGTGAGGCAAAGAGGTGCTTACAAGACGGGGCGGGGCGTTGGGGAGGCTTCCGGGCAGGGCCTGGGGTGTTCAGGGCTGCAGGCCTGGAAGGGTTTGCCGGACTCAAAGGGCTGCAGGGGTGGCCTTGGGCGCCCTCTAGCAGCCTCTGCCCTGCTTGAGAGAGCCACATGGGGGCAGCAGAGAGCTGAAGAGGAGCGATTTGTCTAAAGTCCTGGGCTCAGACACCAAAGCCCGCTGTGAGACTCAGGGATCGAACGAGGAGGAGCCCATGATGTGCATACCTGAGCCCAGGTGCGCTGATGGTCCACACCAGCCCTCTGGGGGCCCCGAAGCGGCTCGTTTGCGTGCCCGAAGCTCCCAGGGGACTCAGTGAACAGCCCACCCCGAGAGGAGCAGGGCGAATTCCCATCCCATTGCGCCCCTGCCTGGCACAGGTCCCTCTGGCCCTCCCTCCCTTAGGCACACCCTGCACAGGGCCTGGGGGATGGGAGGTGCTGGGGGCTCTGCCCAGCACTGCCAGGTCTCAGCCTCCAGAGT